GTGTCTGTTACGTTTATTTGACAGCCTCGTCCAGGGCACATCATCGTTGAAGATGCCCCAAAAGGGTTCGTGTTTACTTGCTGGAGGTCTTATTTTTTTTATTTGTTGTACGGACTCGACGGAAGTCCCAGTCTAACCAATGATATGTCCTGTCCTCGGCTCAGTGTAAGCTGCTACGACATATTTAATTTGGCAAGAAAGTGCCTGAGAACGAAGTAGTGGATCAGTTAGCTATCAATGCTGACTTGAGCGCGCTACCGCTCCCCGAATGTCATGAACTAACTGGAGGTCTGTTGTGCTTTCGGGTGGGTCCGTATCCAGTAAAGGTGGACGAAATGCGCGTTTAAGTGTCTATCCGTATAGGAATAGAAACGGAATGTATGCTGCCTTTCGAAAAAAGTGGTCAGTAGTTCGCCTTGATCTTCAGATGCTAGGTATGACGACTGTAAGGCTAATCCCAGACCGCTGTAACGAACATCGCTAACGATAATACGGTGCTGTCCCGAAGCGTCATCGGAATCTATGGTGTATGACAGAGAAGAGCTTGAAATTTCATTTGCCAAATCTCCAAGGACTTCACAAAAAGCAGAAAGTTCTTGGAAAACCGAGACGGTAGGCCATATGAAGCCAACAGTCTTAACACGTTCGAGGCGGCGTGTACTCCCGGGAGTACACGCGGAAACCCCTGTTTTCGGTCATTCGTACAGTATTGCGAAAACACGCGCATATTTTTTTGTTCTTTTTGCGGCTGATTGTATCTACTAGCATACATTAAACATAATCGTCAGCACATCAGTGCGAAGAAAAAAATTGTAAAAATAAGCCAAAACAACGACGAACGTGAGTTCTGGGCGAAATGCCCTTCGCCTCGAATGTGTTAAGGAAGCTTGAAGATACACGACAGCGAGTTTTGAGGGGCTGACCTTTGAGCAGCTTCCATTTTTTTGGTTTTTCTCAGGCCCCCCTTTCTTATTTAAAACCTAGAAAAAGAAAAAAGAAAAGAAAAAGAAAAATGTTCATTAGCATTGAGAGTGTTGTAAGGCTGGCATAAATGCTATCAGACTGAGAAGGTAAGATATGGCCCTGGCGATGTAAAGGGTAGAACACCTGAGGTGTGGATTCGAGTCCCGTCCTGGATTAGGACTTTCACCCATAAATAGGCAATCTTGTGAGTTATTGAAAAGCTGACATTGGTAGTTGACAATTGTAGACCTCACCTGCCGTATTCTTAGCAAAATCCAGTGATCAGTAGCGAATGAAATCAGAAGTATTACAGTAGCGTTGAGAAGGAGCACGAATTTTGCCTCCATGAAGCATTTTCTCGATTTCACTGGCCGATGTTTTGCAGTGAACTTTCGTCATTTCGAATCGATCTGGTCGCCCCTCACAAAGAACTTCGGGTAATTGGATTGGGCGTGATGCAGAGACGTTTTGGCGAGCGGATACCAGAAATCGAGTCAAAGGGTTCGTCAAGAGTGTCAACATCTGCACCCGGCGACTTGATACCATGGATACGTGAAAATGAAATCGGAGTGGATACCGTTATAGAGACACCGTTTGGCAAACGTCAAGGTGAGAACCTTTGTGAAATATCGACTTCTGGCCGAAAATGTTCATGTTTTTCCAACTTGACTGAAAAGGGGTTCAGGACCGAATTGGGTTTGCAGCTATCTTTAGCGAGGGTGATAGTCACCTGAGACATCTGGCTCGTGCTAAGGATGGTGCCAGTGTCAACTGCACAAAGCCCGCTTTTATTGAGTCTAAGATGTTCGCAAACGAATGCACTCGCGCCGCCCTCTGCCTTTTTGACCCCGGCGCGCAAATGCAAATGTCCATGGATGTCCCGTTCAGAACACATCATCCGTGAGAATACTCGTTGGGGTTGTATTTTAGTCATTGTGACAGAGTAGTCGTAGCGGGATTGCTGACTATTTTGAGGATGGAAATGAGAGAACTCTTCACAATTTTTCTGTCGGATGTATACATTCCTCCCTTTTCTCCCCCACCCCTTCCAGCTACGAATCTTCCTGATGGACTGAGGAGAAAAGGTGATAGATGAGGCGATGTTTTAGAGCTAACATAGTTTGGAGTGGGGGGAGGGAGTAGCTTGATGGAGGTTCTGCGTCCGTTCCCCTCCCCTTGACCAAGGCTTAGGCCTAGAGCGGGTCTCAGGGAGATAGTCTCGCACAGAAGGCGAAGTCTCTACTGAGCCTCAAGTCTTACAGGGAAGGTATAGGCTCTACTGAGTCTGGACCACAGAAGAGCAACGCAGAGAAGCTGCCGAAAGCCCACCGCACATCTCCCCTCTCCCAGCGCTTACCCTGGCCTCCATGGTTAGCAATAGCTCATACTGTATGTGGTGGTTTAGTTGTGGACAGTGCTGAAAACTGTTATTTATGAAAGAATGGCGGCTAGCTGTAGGAATCAAAATGCTCAAAGCTTTGGCAAGGCGCAAGTTCTTTACGTTTCTTGCGGGCACGAAGTACTCGAGGATGAGCAAGCTTATGCGGTTCTCGGTTTCTTTCTATAAATTTAAAAAAGATGGAGGTTCATTATCTTCGCAGTGTCAAATAGTGTTGTCAAGGGTTTCAGTTGATGGTTCATAAACTTTGTTGTAAATTTATATTAGTTTTGAGTAACATGTCGTTGAGCATGTAATAAATAAAATAAAACAAAAATCTCTCATCGACCAGTAATTTGGCACAACGACCTTTTTTCTACAAAACCGTTACTGTTTAGCGATTTACTGTGATTACACGGCTTCGGCACGTGCAATTCGCCCAATTGAAGACTATATTATGGAGCATGTGTTGCCGCTATATGGTAACACTCACAGTTCGGTGACGGTGACATCAGAACAGACGACCTGTTTGTTCATGCAGGGGGCAATACAGTAGCAGATTTCGGGTTCTGTGTGCGACATAGCTTGTAAGTGAATATGAGACACATTGACGTGTCAGCTTATTAGGCAGGAAATTCGTGCTATGACTGGGGCTGGTGACGGCGACAGCGTGATGTTCGTCGGTTCGGGCAGCACGGCAGCTGTTGAATTGCTTGTCCATCTGATGCAACCTGAAAATCTGGTATTGTTTTCATTTGTCTCAGGTTATCTGTCTGGGTTGCGCCACTGTGTGCACCCTCCAAACCCACACCAACTACGCTAACCCCATCAATTTTCTTCAAAAAATGTTCCGGACTAGCAAGGGAAACTGATATGGAGGAAGTTGTTTTCCGTAAAATGGTAGTCTTTGGTACATCACCACCATATTCTAAGAACAAGGCTGTGGCGAGAGATAAAAGGGGCCCATCGCACGTTGGGAACTCCCAGCGAAAGAGCTGCATTTCTTCGCTGAAGATGGGGGTCGTATTAGCGCTTGAGAAATCTGTAGGCTTTTCTCGGTTCGGTAAGGTAAGGTTAAGTTTCATGTACACTCTGCCCTTCTTCCGCATAGTGTACATGAAACTGATGGGATTGCTAAGAATATTATGTGAAATTTTCGAGTTGGGGGAGGTCGTAATTTGCAAAATTTCTCTTTTACCGCAGGTAGTGTTCTGGCCACAGTCCTCAGAAATTTCATGCTCGATCGGTTTATTCTTGAGTTTCCGAGGTAAGTCATGACAACAGCGGGGTTGGACTGTGAACTGTTGTGTACAGCTATCGTCGCGACAGCTATCTGTAACTAAGGCCACTACTCAAAAATTTTTTTTTCAGATCCTTTTATGTATAGTTTTTCTTTCATTCTGAGTCTCTGATTACAGGTGGTGATTTTATCTGTTCACGAGCACCACTCAAACATGCTACCGTGGCGTACAGTTGCGGAAGCTTGTTACTATGTACAGGAGTCCAGCGACGGTGGCATCGATCTAGGTAGGGTTTTACCGTCATTGACTTTAGTATATTCTGGCCCATTTTAAGCGGCAGGGTAGAAGGGCAACGGTTGACACTGTAAGATCCATTCTGACGCTACTTTTTTTGAATTCATCTGCGTTCGAGTCCCGGTTTCTGCACAAACGTATCTGTAGGATTGGAAGGGGCACTTGACAGCACCTGTCTGTCCCTTTCCCTCACTTAGGCTAAGGCTTAGAGTGCAGACGCTCAGAGTCGCGTAGATACTGTCTGCTATGCGAAAGTAGCCCATGGCAATTCTGACCGCAGCGTCTGCACTGTGAGCCTAAGGATGGGCACAGAAGCGCTGAGGAGAGTTCCAAATACGTCAATGCTCCAACTTCTTGTCATATTAGTTATAGAATAATTATAATTGCAAATATTTTGTAAACAACTCCATAGTGATATTTACGAGAAAGGCTGAGCTCTCTTTTTTCAGCTGACCTAGTTCGTGTTCTGGAGGAAGCTCATCGACGCCATCCTCAGTCCCAGCTTTTGGCAGCTTTCACTGCATGTTCGAATATTACGGGTATCTTTATGGATGTACCCCTAATAAGCGCCACGCTTAAGAGGTATGTTGTTTGACTAGTTCAGCGGTGCACAACATGGAGGCAATGTGTTCAGGCAGTTGTCCCTACTTTGCTTACAATGCCACTTTTCCAATCGGAGTGCATATGTTGGAGATCCCCTGCGAGTGGAGGGGTCGTATTTAGTCGGCCTCAGTCGCGCAATGCGGCAATTGCTTTTACCGTCAAGTATGACCGCAGCCTGAGATATGATTGGCTACTTATTACCGAGAATCACCAGTGCTCATCTAAGCCATAAACCGGCGGAATAGTGATCCTTTGTTCCTATCGCTTCTTCTAGGGAAGCTACTCTAGCCCCCTTGGAATCCCAAACTGTGAGACAAGTCAAGTGCGCGTTCTTC